TCAATAGTTTTAGGTCCTATTTTAACCCTTTTAAGTTTAGGAACTGCTTCCTTAGCCAAACAACCCCATACCTTCAAGTATTTATAAGACCTTTCCATACTTCATAAGGTATTTTATGCGTTTTTCAAAGTGGTAATTTGTTAAGAATAAAATTGACAGAAAGCAAGGCTTCCCCCCCCCCACAAGTTCTATGGTAATCCATAACTTATTAACATAGCATTCATCATCTTCTTCAATGTTCGATTCTTGCGTTCAGCAATACTATTGGATTGAGGAGAATAAGACACGGTAGTTTGATGAATAATTCCATATTCCGAACAGAATTGTTCAAATGGAGAATCATATTCACCACCTCTATCATTTCTTATGGCCTTAATCTTTTTATTAAGTTGATTTTCAACTTCTAACTTATAGTGTTTAAATACTTTAATTACTTCATCGTTGCTTTTGAGTAAATACACATAACAATATCAAGTACAATCATCGATAAAAGTAATAAAGTACTTATTACCTCCTCTAATTTGAACAAACTTTAAATAACATATGTTAGTGTAAATTATATCTAGAGGTTCGGTACATCTTTCAACAGAACGAAAGGGTAAACGTGTCATTTCGACTTCTACAGATATATCGTATTTGTGAGTAGGATTTAAATCGCACTTTGGTAATGAATTTAACTTGATTAGTCTACGCAAAGTATTATAATTTACATGTCCTAATCGTTCATGCCAAATATTAAATGACTCAAGCAAGTAAGAAGAAGATGTAATTTTATTCATAATCGTAGGTACAATGATCATTACATTCAATTTAAAGAGCTCCTCATTCAGGTAGCCCTTTCCTACAAACATTTCATTCTTTGTAAGTACAAATTTGTCTGAAACGAATACTAACTTAACCTCGTTCTTGTTTCATAAAGAACTAGATACCAAATTCTTTCGAATATATAGCACATGATGAACGTCATTCAAAGTGAGCTCCTTTCCACTTGTCATTTTTAGCACTATCTTTCCATGTTCTTCTACCTTGGAAGAAGAGTTTCCCACGTAGAGATGTTCATCATGATCCATCACTTTGTAAATAGAGAACATCCCGCAATTTGAGCATATATAACAAGTAGCTCCAGTATCAACCCACATTCTTTAGTGTTTCCAACTAAACTGCATTCAGAAACGACCGTAGAAAGATTTATATCTTGTACCTTATCGAAGAGGTTGTCATGTTCCGTTACATTAGCCTAATGAGTTTTTTCCTTGAAATTCTTTGGCGTTCGACAGTCTTTGGATCGATATCCTGTCTTGCCACAATTGTAACAATTACCTTTGAACTTTTTAGCAATTTTTGAAGAACTAGTTTGTTCTTCTCCATTGTGCTTCCTCTTTTTGTTTGTCTTTAGACCTCCTTCCACAATGTTGGCTTTCAATTCCATCGTATGAGATGCACCACTCCTTTTTTTCAAATTTGTGATTGTCTTTTTCAATTCTCAATCGGACAATGATATCTTCAAGTTTCATTTCCTTCCCCTTATGCTTTAGATAATTCTTGAAGTCCTTTCAGGAATGCGGTAATTTTTCAATTAGTACAGCAACTTGAAATGATTCACTTAGTTTCATTGCTTTGGCATGGATGTCGCTAAGTAGGATTTGAAGTTCTTGAACTTGGGATATGAGAGTCTTGTTGTCAACCATTTTATAATCCAAAAAATGACCGATAATGAATTTCTTCGAGCCGACATCTTCGATTTTCTACTTGGTGTCCAAAGATTCCCATAATTCTTTTGCAGACTTCACATTGCAGTACACATTATATAATACGTTATCCAATCCATTGAGTACATAATTTCTACATAGAAAATTAGAATACTTCCATGCATCTACCGCAGCCAATTTCCCAACATCACTGTCTTGCTCGGTGTATGAAGACGCATCTTCTTTGAGAACTTTTGTCAAACTTAATGTCGTCAGATAAAAAGCATTTTCTATTGCCAGCGCTTGAAATCCGACCCATTAAATTTTTCTGACTTTTCCCCAGTCATATTCGGGAGTGTAGTACCAGAAGTTGTCATTTTTGAAACACAATCAGAAGATAGACGATAAGAAGGGGTAGAAACAAAATAAACCAGAAAAGGTCGTTTTAAGATTTTTGTTTCTGGAGTATAAGTTTCTCCTTTGAAATAATCTGACATAATTACCTTATGTAATTTTGAACAGCGTAAAAATATGATCAATAGTTAATTCGAGCCCACCGATTTTACGATATTTCCTTAAAACGAATTTGCTGCCTTCAACGGTGCTAAAGGCGTCCAGCAATTATTTTTCAGGATAGAACGAATTTCATCTCCTATGGAAGCAACACAGCAATCTGCAGGAGTTCCAACGAAAGCAACGAAATGTTTTAATTTCAAAAATAATATCAAAATGAGAGAAAGGGAGGATGAGATTCGATGCAGAGAATATTTGCAATGAAAATGGTGTGATTTTTCTGGCAGCGGGGCAAGCTATTTATAAACTTGTTCGTAACCATTCGAACATCCTCCCAAACAGTCGTCACTGTTCAGGCAGCATTCAAAACTCGAACAGATATGTTTGTTCGATACTGCGCCGATTTAGTCAGTTAACAGTCAACTGTTTAGTTGGTTAACAGACGACTGTTTAACAGACCATCCAGACCAAGAAAAATTACCTAGAAATAAGCTAAACTTAATTTCATTAAGTACCCGAGAATTTGATTATTTACAATTTGGTCCAAAAATTCAAATAAATTTTGTCCAAAAAGTTAATATAGCGCAAGGACCCACCCGCATCCGAACAGGAACACAAACCGGATCGGATTCGGCCGCGTGTTCGTGCCGTGCTAAGCTAAGCCGGTCGAACGGACGGCGGCGGCGACGTGTGGGTTTATGATCGAACCCGATAGGATATAGATCTCCCCCCTTCCAAAAACTATTGGTACTCCTTGGAGCCCAAACCTAATTCCCAAACTTCCACCATATAAATCACACCAAAGTTTCCTAACTTTCCTATATTGGATAAGTGTTTGGTAAATCAAATTCTTCCATAATTTATAGTTTAAAGTGGGTTATTTTGACATTCAATATTTCATTCAATTTTAAATGATTTTCGACAAATAAATATATCACGTTAATCACCTCGTGGAGTAGAATGTGAATACGCTATGTCCCGAATTAATTAAAGTGTAGATCCCACTGAAATTTGGACTCAAAGTTGACCCATTTTACTAACCATTTTCCAACAAGCAGTCCTTCTGTTTCCAATCCGTTCGCCTGTAAATCGCTTTTGGTTTTATGCACTGTGGCCTCAGTATAAATGCTTCTCGTGCACAGATGGTCACTTATTACTGGTAGACTCTCTAACCGCACTGACAATGAAGTGAAAAACTACAGGAATACCCATTTGACCAAGAGGGCATATATGGCCCAAATATGAACCTAGATTCTTCAATTTGGATGGCATTTTGTGTATTCTGAGTTCAGATAAAAGGCAGCTTCTCAGAAATGAATTCAAAGGTTAATTTATTTAGATCGTAACTACGCTGACTCAAAACATTATGAGTGTTCTTTCCTTGTGTTTCACCGACACAGTCATCTCTATTTAAATTTCATCTGATTGGGAAAATTTTTAGGTATCTGAGAATTGATAACTTTACTAAATTGCATTCGTATCAAAAACTGTTTCTTCAACTTTTTAACGTAGACTTAAAATGACTGGTGATGACTCAAGATGCTTACACCCAAACTTGACCTATAACGCCCTGAGCTCGTTATCCATCGAATCCCTCACATGTGAGATCGGGCTATCTTTGAGGTCGGGCCTACAGATATAGGTCGGGTATTATTGTGTGAATCAAGCCACGTGTCCCTTATCGTGATTCCTGAAAAAGGTATCCCATTCTAACTACAACTCTTCAGGATCCTTATCCCAACCGTTTTAACCTACTCCTACTTTAACTCAAATCCAAACAGTTCACTTTGAATAGAACTCAAACACCTTGTCCAATGAGGAAAGAGACTACAGGTAGTTAAATCGTTCTATAACTCCACAACCAACACCTATAAACATGTGGTCTAGGCTCATTATACAGGTACGTTTTTCATTGTTTGCCAACTCATAGCCTAACACACTAAAATTCCTAGATGACCTAAGCATCGGAGGAGCGACGAGAACATACCTCGTTATCTTTGTTTCAGGTATAGGAAGATTGTTCGTGTTCATCTAAGTTCGGAGTTCAAACATTCAGTTCGAGATCTATCAGGTATGATTTTTTGGTAGCATCAATTGGAAATTTCGGTTCCTGTCCAATGAACAGATTTTTTAATGACTTTCAAGATTATGTTGGTTGGGTAATTGAAGCATATCAGAATCATAACTTTGATAATGCGGAAAGTAAGATAATGATGCTGCTATTCATTCATATCGTGCACGTTTAATAGTCACAGATGGTATAGACAAATCCAGACTTCACTTGTACGAACATAACAATGTAAACTGAAAAGTTCGCAAGCCAAATTTTAGCTCTCTTCCCAGTATTTCTGCACAAGTAAATAGGAAGGGACGACATACATAACTCTTGAACAATAATTGGCATTCAATAGTTACTGGCTCCTATACAAATTGAATTGTAGCCACGTAATGCAAAAACTCATCATTTAGAGGGAAAGTTGCGTCCTGCTTCTGAAAATGACAAAGCTCTTGAGATCACTTGTTACCTTGCTGCAAAGCCTCATAACTCTTCTCTCAGCCTGTTTCAGTGAGTCGTTGCATGAATTACTAATGATGATTTTTTTCATAAACTTGATCACCTGCTCTTATTGTTCGATGTATCATTTAGCAGCTCACATCCTGTTTCTCGACATCTTGCATCTCGATAGGTTCAGGGAAAACCTCACTGGACGTTCTTTTGTGTGAAGATGAATGATCATTAGCACCACTACTACGAGAACCAGTTCTCTCTGTCTGCTTTAGACCAGCGATAATTTCTTTGTTCGTTTGACTATTAGAACTTTCCGATGAGCTGTGGTTCCAACTACCAAAGAATGCAGCAGTCCACGAATTCCTCGATGAAGTTGTTCTAAGCCTCCCCGAGCTTAAATTTTCCTCCCTCACGACCTTAAAAGGGTTTTCCAATGCTTTGAGTACATGTCTCATTGAAGGGCGTCTAGAAGCCTTGGGATTCAGACACGACTTCGCCACTATTGCAACGGCCCAGACTTCTTCAAGAAGATCCTCGTCTATAATGAGAGATTGGTCCACAATCTTGACTACCAATTCCTTCTCGTATATACTGATGAACGATAAATTGGTGATCAACCACTTCTTTGCATGGGCGTCGTTTGAGCTGCTGATGCCAAGCCTACCAGGCAAGCTCGAGTAAGACCTTTCCAAAGCAGTATACATCGTAGGCACAAATCGCAGATGATGATCCTGGATATTAAATTATTAATGAAACTATATATTGATAGCTGATATAATATTCTCAATCAAATTGCTGAATTAGACCAAAAGGGTCCTCCAACCCAGTAGAGTGAAGAAGAGAAGAGAAACTATATCATAAATAGACTTCATATATATGCAAGAGAATTCTAATACCAGATGGGCGTCTTCCTGAAGTCCTGCAGATTGTCAAGGAACAAGGTCTTAGACAACTTTGAAATGAAATACTTCCCCAAAAAATAAATTTGAAAGGAAATAGGTGTCCAGTAGCAGTATAAAGCATACGTACAAGCGTAACTTGATAAAATCTCAAAGGTTTTGGCAGCTCAAATCCTTAATCAATACAGTGCTTTTTTGTGACAGGTTTTAGAAACGTATGCTTTTTGTGACAGGTTTTACAAGCATACACAGACGATAAAATCCTTATTCGCTTAAAAGAAAATATGCTAGAAACTTAGTTCATTAATTTTTCCCTTGGAAATATTAGATTGTGCAGAAGAAAGTGTCCACTTGTTCATCATTTTAGCCATGAGAAACAAGAATACACGTCAGGAAACTCTTCAGATGAATACAGATGCCATTTTTCGAAGGAAATTATGTTTTGAAATCATAAAAGTTAATGTTTAGGGAGGAAATTAACTTACTGCGGCGTCTGAAGAAACCTTACAATCATGCTCTTATGATTATCTCCACCTTGAGCACAAACATCACTCAAGCTTCCCAGCCGTACTTCATATTTGTCGTCTAGGAATATACTGCTAGCTTGAATATCTCTTCAGAAGGGAACAAAATGAACTGGAAGTTAATTAATCGATCAAGAGGGATTTTTTCAGAAATAAGCACAGACTGTACAATTTATTATCAGAAAAATGTCCAAATATAACGAAAAAGGAATGGAAGACTCTGACCTAATATTAGCGTAGACATAATAAAATGGGCTGGACTGAAGTTTCACAACACATTCTTAGAATATCAATTACTCTATCTAACAACCGCTGTTAGATGAAATTGGCCAAGAACAAGTACAAATTCACCCTTAAGAGTAAAAAGACCAAAATATTCAATAAATAAATAATACCTATGGACGAGTGGAGGAGTGCATTCATGGTGCAAGTACGATAAGGCCTCAGCAGTTCCAATTGCAATTTTCAATCTCGTAATCCAATCCAATGACTGCAAGCTTTCATCTTCAAAATTGGGTGACCTATAGAAGGAATTGGACAAATCTCCATTTGGCATGTATTTATAAACCAAGTACATCTCACTCTCATTCTCTAAGCAGTGTCCCAGGAGTGGGACGAACCTTGGGTGTTTGATCTTTCCTAGTAAATCCAACTCTGCCATGTATGATTCTTCACTCAACAAACATAAATCAACTTTCTTGATAACTGCTTGGTATCCACCTTCAAACATTCCCAGAAAGATATCTCCGGAGTGACCATGCTTTATAAGGTTTTCATCACTAAAATTACATGTAGCTTCGAGTATCTGCTCATGAGAAAATGATTCTCCAAGCCCAGACAAGTCAATATTAACCTTTGGAGGTGGCTCTCTACCTCCTCCTCGAACAGGCCTCTCATTTGCATTCCTTTGATGATTTCTACTTCCTATACTACATGTCTTCATAAACAATAACACTCCTGCTGCCAGAATTACGACGAAGCCAAGTCCACCAAAAAGTCCAACCATTATATACGTCAATCTTTTTCTGCTCTTCGCCGGTTTCACTAGTGGAGGTTCCGATGGCTTGGGAACAGTTTCGTTGCCGAAAAATAGACCTCTCTCAGAGTAAAACTTGTTACAGTCCTCCGACTTCCTCTGCCTCGGTACACTTGACAAGCAGTTATTAGTAAAAATAATGCTGCTTCGGCTATCATTAGGAGCTAATCCTTGAAAATAGTTATTGGACAGATCAATCGATTGAAAGTTCTCAAGTCCAGAGAACAAATTTCCATACAACAGATTATCAGAGAAATTGAATACAGCATTAGAGGGATTGAATGAAGCCTTAAGGTCAGGGAAAGTACCAGTGAAATTATTCCCTGCGACATCTAGGTGTCTCATATGGGACATTTCCCATAAATCATCAAGAAGTTCACCAGAAAAATAATTCCGTCTCAGAACTATATATTCCAGTTTAGTAAGATTCGACAAAATATCAAATGGAGAACCCTCAAGCTCATTATTTCCAATCATCAATCTTTGCAAACTTCTCAGGCCTGTCAAGTCCTCCGGTAGTGACCCCGAGAAAGAATTGTATCCAAGATCAAGTACTACTAACTGAGAAAGATTGCCCATCTGAGCAGGAACAGAACTACCAAGACTATTATTACTTAAATTCAAGACCTCAAGACTAGAAAGTGAACCAAAACCAATTGGAATCCCACCTGATAGATAATTAGAAGACAGGTCAAGATTAGTGAGATTCCCAAGTGTTGAAATGTCACTTGGAATACGCCCTGTTAATTGATTTCTCGAAAGATCAAGAATAGATAATGAAAAGAAACTCCCCAATGCAGCTGGAATTAGCCCTGTAAGCGAATTATCCGATAAATATAAATGCCTAAGCCTACTTAAACCTCCAATTGTTGACGGAATTGAACCATAAATTGAACAAGATCTAAGATCAAGAATCTGGAGATTACTTAACCTTTGGCCTAACCATTCCGGAATTGACCCTGGAAGTAAAAACCCAGATGAATTAAAGGAAGACAACAACGTAAAAGCGGGTAAAGAATCAATAGCAAATAGCGGATTGAGTTTTCCTTCACGAGTTCTTCTTAACCCGGATAAATTTATTCCAATTACACGACCATTTTGGCATTTTATTCCAGTCCAATTCAAACATGGGTTAGTTTTTCTAGGCCAATCCTTCGCTCGAATTCCCAGTGACGACCGTAGGTCTCGTAAAGCCCTCCATTCCGAGTTGGAACTCAGTCGTGGGACTGTCTGAGTAAGAACAGAGTTGACAAACAAGAAGAACAGAAGTGGAAAAATCTTGAAGCCAACCTCCATGATTTCTGTTAGAGAAAATCAATATGTGGCTAATTTCTATAACACTTTCTGAAAATGGTTTTCTTGCTTTTGATTACACTAATTTTTTTCTCTTGAACAGTGCTTCTGTCTGCAAAAATGAAGTAATTCGCATTGAAATTAATATATCAGTGCCTATCCATTGACCCATAAAGGTACAAAATTGCAGGAAATATTTGAACGTTTGTGTAAATTTAGGTACAGACACATACCTTGGTCATCACCACGTTTGGTTCTTCATTTCAATACAAATATAACAACTGCGTATATGCATGTGAACCTTTAAGTATCTGGATATGTATACGTCGGGGTGTATTAATGGCGAAAAGGGTTTTTCTCAACGGCCACAACTGTATGTTTTCATGGTAGTGGGAGAGGCATTATTAATGATAAATATCGTTGGTGACCACTGACCAGTAATTTGACTCGATGGGGTTCGTGGAAAGCCGTAACACACAGTAACCGTGTCTCTGTGTCTGTGTTGGCTTTTTCGGGTCCTCTGCAAGAGCAATTATACAAGCGGAAAATTATGAGATTGGTAGGACTAGTGATCAATCTCTTATGATTGATTCGAAATAATTGAATTGATTTCGTGTTTACATTCTTGCATGGACCCATTGCTCATGTAAGGTTAAGGAAGGAGGAGGAGGTTGAATTTTCTTGATTTGTGTTTGTCATCGTTCACTTGTAGTTTGTTTCAAATGGAACCTTGTGGCAAGTAGATTGCCAAGTTGATGAGGATTGAGGTGAGACCATTCTTACTCTTGGTAGTTTTCGAAATTATAATTACTTGTGCAGGGGCAGATGCTGATTAAAAAAGATTAAGTAAATATTTTTTTATATGTGAATTATTATTATTATTATTATTATTATTATTATTATTATTATTATTATTATTATTATTATTGCATATTAGCCCATCCTGAATTTTTCCTTGGATCTACCATTTCACTTGTGATTTATGAATTGTGTGATCAAGTCTTCCATCTTATATTTCTTACGAAGTAGAGAGCATGAAACTTAAGGCCATGTATGATTTTTCTCTTTGATGTTCAGTAATAAATAAATTTAGTCGTAGTTGTTAGGAATTGAGTCACATGTAAGCATTTACAAGATTTTCAAAATGTATGTAATGAAAACATAGAATCGTATGGTGTATTATCTATGATAAGACATTAAAGTTGTCATACGATGAAATTAATTTAATATCTAGAATATATGAGCAACAATTTTCGCTATTTGGAGTGCCTCCTGCACTTAGCCTAAGCAAACATACAATCAAAATCAAACAAAAATTTTGTACAACTAATTTTATCTTTAACTCTTAATTCAATGGAATATGATCGACCAGCACTCCCTTTTTTTAAAAATACTTACCGGAGTTTCCCGAGTCTTTACTATAGATATAAGGTTCAAGCCTTCACCATTTTTAATATTTACAAAATTTATTAACATATTTTTTGTACGAGAATGAAAACAAAAATTTGTTGCTAAGTTATATACTCTTTTTAAGTTCTATTTAGCAAATATGCTCTAATTGTTTTTAATTAATCTTTATTGTGTATATATATATATATATATATATATTAACAATTTGTCAAAGATACTATTCTTAAGAAAGTTATAATAATTGAAGTCCAAAATGTATGGTATAACGTCATATCGCTGTCCTAATCTTATGGTGCATAAGAGGCCTAAAAATGATAAAGACGTGAGTAATTTGTATCATTTAGACGGTTCAATGTATGCATAATGACAATGGTAGACCGTGGACTAAAAAAGATAAAGTTTGAGTTTAGGCTCCAAAGCCGCCAAACTTTCAACGCGTATAGCCGACGGTTTTGTTCATCTCAATGTTTTTATTCATTTTTCTGATAATAAAAATTTATTTTTATTTTTTGTATATTTCGATTAATTTTGCATGCTAAAAAGATCTATTTCGAGCGTAATAAATAATAATACAATTGTGTAAAACAAATACAACTAAACTATTAGGCTGTGGTTGGTTTGGTGTTTTCGAGCCATTTTTCGTTTTTCGTTTTCGAAAACGCGGAAAACGCGTTTGTTTCGTCGTTTTTGAAAATGTATTTTCGAAAACGAATTAAAATTTATAACTGAAAACGCAAAACGACTTTTTATCGTTTTGAGCGTTTTCAATTATAAATTCCCAAAGTGCGAAAAACATTCAAAACGCGTCGTTTTCGAGGAAAACTAAACATCGTTTTGAAATCGAAAATAGAAAATGAAAAACTAAACCAACTGCACCCTTAGCATGTTTATTATTTAAAAGTTAGCATGCTTATTAATTATTACGTTGATTTAAATATATAACTAAATAGTATAATTTCTAAATTTTACTACAGCCAGTGTTAATAGGAAAAAGTCAAAATTTGCTTCCAGTACTAAGAAGTTGTTTTTAAAAACTTTTTAAAATAATTTTCTAGAATTACTTCCCACCCGTTTGGCAGGTTTTCCACTTCTTTTTCAAGTAGAAGAGTTCTTATAAAGAAGGTATATTAATTAGTATTTTTTAAAGAGTTTCTCTTTTGGAAGAGATTTTAAAAAGTCTCTTCTAATTTGAAGAACTATTTTTATAAAATTAACCAAAAGGGCGTAAAAGTATCTTTTGGGTTTAAAATTTTATTTCGACTTTTCAAAAGTCATGTCGAATGATCTCCTTTTCTGGCAAAAAGAGCTGTTGGAGAAAAATTACCTATATAGCTTCCTTATTAAGAACTTGTTAAGTACAGATTTTAAACCAATTAAAATCAATTTTTAACCGTTATTTTACTATTTCAACCGTCATTTTTGAATTATTCTCTCACAGGTAAGACCCACTTTATTTCTAACAGTCAAAAAATCAATTATCAAAATTCCTATTAAACAAACACTAAACTTTTTTTACAAGAAACATAAACAAAAATAGAAATGCTATCAAACAGACCTACATATGCCTCATTTTTTGTCCGTTCGTGTTAAGTTTAACACACCAAAAGTACCCTTTATTTCATGTTTGTGATATATTTTATTTTTTGATCAAAAATGAAATCTTACATGATTAGTTGTTAAAAAGTTTTTGACCATTCATAAAAAACCTTGATATCCAAAATTTGGACGGGAAAATATTTTTGCTAGGTCTACAATTCTTATCATTAATACCCTTTTTCTTTTGTTGCTTCAAGGTGGTAGGACATAATGAACAGAAAAATATAATGAAAATAATATTAATTCTTGGAGGAATAAATGTCAAAAGTATTGATGAAAATAATGGCACAACACGTAATATAACGTGACACAAGAATGGGCCACACATGTTCATGAATTCAGCCAAGGAATAGAGTAAAATGTCATTTTCTCTTGTAGCTTTTATTGGTTTGACTGAGTCTTACAACAGTTGGAATTCATGCTTAATAGTATGCGTGTGTACGTGTAGTGTGAAAACCTGTTTGGAAGTTATTATAAAGTGACAAATTATAAGTTATCTAGTTGGAATTTGTCTTCCAAGAAAGTAACTTCATTTGAGAAAAGTTTATTGTTCTCTACGAGCAGCGTGGCCACATCTTTTAGCAATGCTAAAACTGAATTATTAAAGAATAAGTTACTCGTAATTCAATGTTTAGGTCAAGATTTAAGATATTTTAATTTGTCTTTTCATCTAATAGACTATAAGTAGGAAGTTCTATACTCTTTCGAGTCGTAGGATTGCTTGTAAATGTTTGATCAACTTTGTCACAAACGGATTTAAAAAGGTCGTGTGGGTCAGTAAACCCTCCACACACCAGTAAATTTCTGAAATATATAACTAATGTTGAAGGGAAAAAAATCTATACACAGACCCCCAAGTAAATACATGATTTTTCCTGCTTATTTACTAGAATTGGTTATTAGACATTGGATTCCTGCTTTTCCTCAATAAATTAAGTTCTTATTCTAAAATTTTTATGAATTAGGTCTTCTCTATCCAGATTTATGTTTTGAATTTGTTTATCCATTAAAAATGAAACAGTGTAATAAACTTTTGATATTCTACCACCCCAATTAAAAAATAATAGCAAATATTCAAATATTTGTCTGCCCAACCATTCATAATGTAAATATGTATGCAAATGTCAAGTTTTGCACTTCTAAGTCAAGCGACGAATTGTCCTAAGTTGATGGTTATGGATATTATGGAATATTGAAATTTATTGTTAAATTTTTATTTTTATGGAATTGGTTGTTTTCTATTGTAATTGAATTGAATATTTTAATATGGGGACTTCGACATTTGCCTATCGAAATTGATTGTGTTTTATGGTTGGAAATATTATCTGGCCAATATAAGAAAGGTTCCATGATTAGAGTTTTCATGTCTTCAACTGGGAGCCTGCAAATTGTCTGTAGAGCAAGCCCAAAGCTACGCCTTGACAAGCCTAAGGGATAAACAAAGTCTTGCAAGAAATATTGTTGAAGTCCCACTCTCCACCTACAAGATAAGAGATAAGAATTGCAATTCAAAAGAAAAGGTGAAAATGACAAGAAGCTTAGAACAGAAGGTATTTAAAGTATAACACATAGGATCCCACAAACACTTTAGTACGTTAGTGTTAAACGCTTTCTAGAACTTCATGAAACTATTTTAGGCATCGAAATGACATGGATGACACCATTCCCTGTTATTTTTATGCCAATAAATGTCATGGCATATTATTATTATTATTATTATTATTATTATTATTATTATTATTTAGAGAAAAAAAATCTCTATAAAAATCTATCTTTACATTTCGTTTTTTTCATGCCAACTCTCTTCAAATACATCTATAATTCTACATTTTACATTTCTTAATTTTCACATGCAAATACAATTAGTATAATTCAATTGCTATTATCAATTAATACTTCATACTTCATCACTTCATCTGTTTTTTTATTTTTTATTTTTTATTTAATTTCTAGTTTCTATCAATTTCTTTTTCGGTAATTATCATATAACGTCATTTTTTCACTATTATTGTGAAAAATGTTCTTATTTTTCTTTTTTTTTTTAGCATTTTCACTCTTATTTTCACCTTTTATTACACAAAATGTCATTTTTCATCCATTTTTTCAATTAAAAGCTGTGAAATGATGAATAAACCCTTCCATTTAAATAAAACAGAAAAAAAAGAAACAACTAATTGTAATCATAGTCCCAAATTTTTTTAAAAAGTGTAAACTAGCCCCAAATAAATTAGTAAAAGAGTTTTCAGCATATAATGTCCCTACCTTTCACTATTATTATGAAAAAATGTCTATACCTTTCATTTTTTAACATTTTCACTCTTAATTACACATTTGATTGCGCAAATCATCCTTTCTATCCATTTTTATCCAATTTATCAATAAACAGTTGTGAAATGGTGAATATATCCTCATATTTAAATTAAAAAATATAGAACTAATTGTAATCACATTCCCAATTTTTTTGAAAAAAGTATAAACGAGTACTAAATAAATTATTAAAAAATCAAAAATTATTATATATATATTTTTAAAAGTGCAAATGAGTTACAAATAAATTATTAAAAATTAAAATTTAAAAAAATCTTTTTTTTATTTAAATATGAGGGTACATTCATTATTTTACAACTTTTATTGTGAAAATTGGATGAAAATTAATAGAAATGATGTTGTGCAATTAAA